TGAATAATTACTGTTTATTATATGCCTAGATCTTCTTTATCATTTTATTCTGCATTATAATTTATCATCAAATTATACATCTTTGTCATGATGATTATAATTTAGAAAAGGATTAGATCTGTTCTTACACTTTACTCAAAGAATTGAATTCTTCTTTTCTGATCAAGCACTGAAAACTTACTGTTGATTTTTAGAAACATAGAAGCTTGTGCTTTACCTTACAGAGCTAAAGAGCAACTCATTCAAACAAAAATAAAGCATTATATCTTCTATATTGCTTACAATTTAAATCACACCTTTTCCAAGTAAAAGGTGGTTTGTGCACACAGCTAAGGAGATTGATTTTACATGACTGCTAAATAAACCCCATCATATATTATCACAGCAACGTGATAGGATAAATTAAAAATGTTCAAGTTTTACCTCCAGCTATGACACAGATCATCAAAAAACCTCCCCCAACAACAGTGTTTGAGACAGGAATTGCAACACTTTTAGAATTTTTTCTAGACAGAATACTAAGGGATACTTTCCCTCCACTAGGAAAGAATTCTCTGCCTGGGAAGTATTAAAACCATGATTCAAATCACTGACCACTTTTCCAATGTGACTGAGTTTTCGGGAGAAAATTTGATGTAGATTTTTTTTTTTCTGCTGTAAATGCTTGAACACACTACAGGATTTACACTTATCTGCATGCATCAAAAGTACATCTAACACCTTAGAAATTCCCAACATAGATGCTTGAAATATTTTTTCCAATTAATATGGAATACTCTTAATTTTAATACTTCTCTTTTTTGAAAAAGAGACATATAATAGAAAAACAGAAAGCCAAAGTAAATGTCCCTTATATGTTCCACTTTCTGTACAACCCTGCTACCACTTAATAACCCAAATATTGTTACATAAAAACTTATGTAATGATGATTGCTCAAGAAAATCAGTTTTGGCATTGTTAATTATGACATGCATTCTCTTCTGCACATTGGATTTCAAGAAACTATCCATTATCGAGCATAGGACAATTTTTTACATCAATGTAAAGGGGAGCAATAACATGGTTTTTTCCCCCTCAAATTTTTTTTACTTATGAAGTAACTTGCATCTTCTAACTTACTTGTAATTAGTGGTGATTTAAAAACATCTGCAGTCAGATATGACCTTTTAATTTGAAAATTCAGTTCAGATTCCTATTTAAATGAATGCTGCTACAGAGTTATGTACTGGCATTTCCAGTCACTCCACTGCCTTGTCTCATTCCTGAAAGACAACTAGTTCCTAAATATAGTGTGATATTATGGAAGCAATTCTAATTGATATATCTGTTATGTTTATAACTGCCTAACATTCCTCAAGTGAGAGCTAGACAATTTAAGGGTAGTTACTACAGTCTAAAATATGATTCAGTACTTTGTCCTTCAGTATCTGAGATAATATAAATAGTGGTAAAAGCCCAGTGACAGTAGACAGAGGTTGAAAGCAGACTGAGGTTGTTTTATTGTGGCTGGGTTTTCTGACTACATTTTGTTTTAATTTCCAGTGAAGATCATTTGTTCAATTTAAAGCTTATGGACACAGAACTTTCCATTTGTATCTGTGCTCACTATTAACGAGACTTAAGGGAAGCTTTTGCCTAAGTATAACCAAGAACATTTCTTCCTCTGCTGCTGCACTTTTTTTGCTGAATCTAACAGAACAGTTACTCACAAAATTTGAAAAAAAAAAGGAAAAAAAGAAAAAAAAAAGGAAAAGTGACACTCCTTGAGTTCTGTCCAAATTTTTGGGCTCCCCAGTAGATGAAAAAGCCTCTAAAGAAACTGGAGTGAGTCTGATAGAACTAATCGAGTTCAGGCTGCAGCACATCATGCACAAGAACCCAAGTTAATTGTTTCCTGTCAACCCAGAGAAGAGAAAGCCTTGCTTGTACCTAATTACCACCTTTTACAATGGATTATTAGATATGGACTCAAACTCCTCTCAGAGGCTTACACTGGTAGAAAACAAAGCAGTGGTCACAAGTTGCAAGAGAAGAAACTCCAAGTGGGTATAAGGAAAATATTCACAGTGAGAGTAGTTAAACCCTGTGGGATTCACACCTTCAGACATTTTAGAAGTTCTATTGGCCAAGGGCCTAAAAAATGTGATCTAGAAGCCGTACCTGTTTTCCTCAGAAGACTGGTCCAGATGAACAACAGAGATCCTGTCTTTATTTTTCTAATAGGTTGAAAAAGTTCAAAGTTTTGTACAAAGTTTATAGTATGAAAAAATAAAACAAGGAAAATCCCTTATTAAGTAAGACTAAATTCTGTAAGTGTTTTTGAGTAGGTAAGAGAAAATCCTGAGAACAAGAAACAGCTTAGTTTTGTTCATTTATTTTGGCTTCATATTATTATTTTTACCTGAGTTCTGCCTCTTCATTTTTGATGAGTAGGAACATAAAGGCATGTGGTCAAAACAAATATTCATTTACTATAAAATACCAGGCTAATGAAAAAGGCAGAAGACACCAGTATCTTTGATAGTTGCATGCTGTTGGTCCTCTCCTTATCTCAGTTCTTGCAGTGTCCCTCATTTTCCTTCCTTCTTTCACAAGAAACTTCAATTCATCAATATTAAAAAAATAAATTAACATAGCCCTGGAAAAACCAGCCACCCTCCCCTTTCCCCTCACCCCCCGAATTATATTAAAGATGAAGGAAGAATTTAATTTAAAGGAACTGGATAATAAGGTTTCAGGAAAACTTGTCTTCACAGAAACTGAGTTTTCCGATATCTTCTAACACTCAGAGGTCAGACTAATGTTTCTTTTAACTAAAATAAACAAAATATCTCTGTATGACTTTTTTTTCTTTATGTCTTTGCCAGATTTGTGGAACATATCCAAATTCATAATGCCTCATCTTTAAAAAACAAATGTGATTTCCAAATGTGCATGTAGTTGTTTTTCAGAGATTAGTGCAGGCAAGTCTTCTTAGAAATTTCATAAGTTTTCCTTCAGAAAAAAAAAGTAATGTGTTTTCTTGTTTTGTCTAAGATCTCTAAATATATTCAGAATTTCCCCATAAACACTGTAACAGATAAGTGACACAAAGATATTCTGAATCAAAGGTGTCAACCTGTAACTTTAATTAAGCAACCTTCTTGAACAATTCTAAATTGTACACTTTAAGTCAAAACAAACACAAGTAACTAATAGTCATTTGAGAAGAAACATCATTGACACTTTTCACTTTTTATTGCCATGTAATTGTACTCACATTAAGAAAGAACAGCTAGCATTACTAATTTCTCAATTTAGGGGGAAGTTCAGGCTACACTTCTTTCAAGATGACATCCAAAGAATGTGTCCTTTTGCTCTATATAGATTCTACAAGTCTTTGTGATGCAGATGAGCCAGACCATTACTTTACACACTGTGATAAATACATCCAGGTACAAAAATAATAATCGTTAATAAAAATATTTTTACTAATTTTCTGTAAGAATACACAGCAGAAAAAAACCCCACCAAACCAGTTGAGAGTAAACTGAAGTAGTTTATATATTATAGATGCAATTTCTTAGGATAAGTATAGCACGTAAGAAACCAGAAACTGCAGCAATGGGAGCATTATCCCCAAGGCCATCAGATTTTTCAAAAGATCACAGGTCATTGCCATTAGGTTTATAAACAGCTATTTCTTATTTGCTTGAGACAACTGAAGAGAAAATATTTTCAAATGTTATTCTTTAATAAATCAAGAAATCTAATACCGAAACATTGGCCATATTAGAACTAAAAACTCAGCTAATTCAAAACAGTTAACATTTTCTACTTAATTTCTGATTGCATACATAATAATAATACTAATACTTGAAACATTTTGAGAGTAGCCTTGTTTAGTTGTGAGACTAAAGCAATGCTTAATTATTAGCAAACTTTTAAAGTAGGATGCTATTTATTTTCTGGTTTTGATAGAGTAACAGAATTAGTGCTGCTTCTTAAACATCAAGTTGATCCTGCACAAAAACATTATCAAGAATATATATTTAAAATTAGAAGGAAAAGAAACAATGTAAAAGATGACTCAAGGACAGAAGAAAAGTAATGAAGTCCAAGCAAATCATATGCTTATAATGGTTTGCAGAGGCTGGTACTTTTGACTGAAGAAGCAAATTAAACAATCTAACGACTGGTGCCTCTGAAACCACAGGCAAGATGACAATGTAACTGGACTTACAGAAAGAGAAGTAGGCCCAACAACAAAGAAAACACACTTAAAAAGAAAAATTAAAAAAAACAAAGAGAGAAAAGAAAGTTGCATTCAATTTCCATCCATCCAAGAACAAACTAGAAAAATTTTAGAATCCTGAGCATTGTCTTTCTGGTTTTAGTTTAAACAATGCCCAAAAATTGATTTTCTTTCCCCTCAGCATTCAAGTCTAACTGAATTTTCTCAGGACTGCAAGAAGGCATGACAAAGAACCTCAGAATGTTACTGAACTATTTCACTGATATTTTCCTGCTACTTTCTTTTCCCTGGCAATACACACACAAAAACTGTTCCCTTAGTAAAGTAACTCCAACAACAGAAATGTGTGTACCTGCAACAGCTTTTTCATGCAAGAATACTGAGTGTGAAAGAAACAAATAATGAAGGACATTTTGCTGTGAAAACTGTGGTCTTTAAAAGAAACAGGGCAATTCTTATTGTTCCATGACGGAAAGAAAAATTTTACCATTAACCACTGACTGAAAATTTCAGGCCCAGTTCAGGACTCCATTAGTCAAGGAACCTCATGACTCCAAAGATATTTTGAAATATACATTTTTGTCTAAAAAGAGGTTAAAAATTAAGGGAGTAGATAAAAACATGAACATACTTCAGTTATTGTCTACTCTGTTATAAAAACACAAGTAAAATTATCAGTAACAACACAAGTATAATTTAGAATACAGGCTTTACCACATTATTATGCTCAGAGACAAAATCTTGATTTCATTAAGATTGGTTTTATAAGTCACTTTTAGCATTAAAAACACAGCCATTTGAGGATAATTGTCTGCCTAAAAACCATTGATTTTAATAGCATTTAAGTACTTTCAAGTACTTAAAAATATCTAAACCCTGAAACTAAAGCCTACATAATGGAGAAAATTAATATATAAAATAACCTTTTTATCAGCTAACACTGAAATAAAGGAGAATAATACCCTTTCCTGTTTATTAGAGCATTGTATAGATGAATTGTTCAACTGGAAAACATTTCCATATTCTAGCAAAACACTCCAAGGGGAAAAAAAGTAGCCAGTTTATTACTAGTTAATTTTGATACTCTGAGCTTCTGTTGAGGATAATTAAGTCCATAGTATGTAAAAATGAGAATTTTAATGCTTCTCTTTCAAAACACACTCAAATTAGATAAAGGGTTTTTTTCTAATGTCAACATTAAACCCAGAAATATTTAAAATTAAGTGTATGACTTAACATGAAGCTAAATGTGATACTGTTGGATAAGCAAAGAAATATCTTTTGGATGAGAAAATAACAATACAACAACTATCTTTAAGTCTATTTAGCTTATTCGAATAAAATTCACTGGCTCTTCATTTCACTGTCAATTACCTTTCTGCTTTATGTGGGACTTTAAGGAAGAAAACAGGAGGGGTGTGGAGAAACAAAATGAAATTATAAAGAGAGAGATATATTTTTCTTCCATGTAACAACTTGAGAAAGGATTAGTATCCAGCTGAAGACGTTTGTTTTCCTACAGTGCTAAACACTGGGCTGTGCAATAGATTGAGGAATAGCTTGAAGAATCACGGCATAAACCAATGATGAATGAGAAAGAAGTTGTCACTTGAAGTAGTACTCCCCAACTCAATACAAGTCTGGATTTTGAGCAGTAAGTTTGATAAATAAGCAAACACTATGCAGAAATTCTGCTTCCTCCAGCATGGGATTTTCTCCCACACTAAAACCAGTACAAACTTCAGCAATGCAGACAGTAAACTGAGCAAAGAGAATGGCATAAAATCCATGTTCCACTGGAAAATCCACCGTTTCAGAGTAGCATTCAATCCACACAATGAATGCAGAAGTCCTCATCAGTCTTAAATTTGGCTTTGCAAACTGTCAGAAATGAGCATTGTTTGATTATGAAAATGGAGGAGAAAAAAAAAAACAGTGCCAAAAGTGCTGCCTTACATGTTAAAACAAAAGTAATAAAGACAAGATCTAGGAATATCTCCACAAACATTAATGAGAGTCCCTAGCTTAATGAAAATTATATGGGGGATAAAAATTTCATTAGGTTTACCTCTATGTGAAACTATATAGAAAACACAATTCTAAAGCAATGAAGTCAGCTTATAGTACAGACAAAAAAAGAATTGAGCATGGATTTCAATTGCTATACAACAACGGTAATATTGCTATTTTATGAGTCAAAATGGAACCTTACTATGCATAAAATTATCAGGGATTGTGTATCTCCTGGATTCAGACATGTAAATATTTAGTAAATTAGAACATCAATCCACTTTTACAACAACAACAAGACAAAGACCTGACAGCTCTCCTTCAAGTAATACAACAAAAGCAGAAATAGCTTTTCTGCTTTTCCTTGGTTACTTGCAAGACCAACAACGTACCATTCTGCTACTGGTTTGGCAATGCTGTCAAAAATCACATCTTGTTTTGCCTCTTGATCAAAAATTTTCTCAAATCTGAAAATTTTAAGCAAATAAGAACTGCTTAGAATGTTATAACAGTACTTGATTCATACATTTTTGTTTCTGTTTGTAATAGTCAATGTTTACATCATTAGGCTTACATAACTTAGTACAATGTTTTCCCTGTAGTCTTAACCACAGCTTGCTGTTGTGCTATTGTACATAAATAGGCTGTACACAGAGATGCTTTGACAAGATGTGTACAATAAAATCCTATGAAAAAATGATGTGGCTTAGAAAAAAAATAAACCGTATTTTAAATCTATCAAGAGAATTAGTGTTTGCAACTGGCACCACACTGAATCCTGGATAAACAGATTACACTATAACCAATATAGCATCCCACCAGTACAGCCAGTTACATTTTTTCAAGCCATTTACTTCATTCTGCTGCACAATTATTACAGGTCACAACAAAATATTTAATAAAATATGTTTTGTCACTTTCTATATAAATTATCTGCAGTTACTTTACAGAATCAGAATTCTTGGGGTTAGAAGGGACCATTTGTTCTAATTCTCCTGCTGCCTCTGCATCATTTTCTGCTGATGTGGATGAACTGTTCTTGAGCTTGGAGAAGGTGATCCTTGAAAATCAATCAGTTTTCCTGGTTATCTCTCCAGGAATGTGTCTCAGAGAATTCTTTCCAGCAGATCCATGAACAAGCCAAAGTCTGTATTTATGAAGTCCAGGGTTATGATCCTGCTTTTTGTCTTACTTCCTTCTCTCTGTATCCTGAATTTCATTATCTCACAGCCCCTGCAGTCAAAGCTACTTCCAGGCTTAATATCCCTCAACAGTTTGTCCATGTTTTCAAATATCTTAATTGGCTTAACTGTATGTTAGGAAGTTGTCATCCACATGTTCCAGCAGCCCCCTGTACTGCTGGTGCCCTGCTGTGTTGCCCCCCTATTTGGAACTCTAGTCTCGCACAGAACTTCCCAGTGTGTGTAGAAAGGTCCTACAGACACTGAGTATGTAGAAAGGCATTGTTCTGACCCATACAGCGAGTACAGTATCACAGACAAATGCAATGCACAAAATATAAAAGCATTTATTCTATCCTGCTAATGAGTCAAGTAACTCAAACAATTATTCTTGCATTGTCTTAAGGATAATAGGGCATAGGGTAACTCAAAATGCATCTCTACAGAGTTTTTAATAAATTATTAAGTCAGACAAAAATATCAGCATTCATTGTCAGGCTTGGGCATCTACAGTCTAAAGTAGCATTGCATATGAATCTATTTAGAGAAGGTCCTCTCTTTCCAAGCAGATTACCTTAGCTGATGTAAAACAACATCAGTTTGAGCTGCAATTGTTTATGTGGAACTCTCTTTTTTAATAGCATAGAGAAACAAACTACTTGTTGTTTACTATAAAAAATGAAGCATATCTGAAAAAGGCAGTCTTGACATCATTAAAAGTGATTATGTATCCAGCTTTACTCATCACCAAAATTTTAAAGCGTTGCCTCACTTTTCTGTTGAAGTTATAAAAATGTTAGATACTGCTGTACTGATTTTAAGTTCCTAACAAATATTTACACTCTACAACTAAGGATTTATTTCTTTCAACAATTTCTGTTTTTCTTTATCTTGCTTTGGCTATGTCTGAAACACAGTTTCTAAACAGAATGTTTTACATCAAGACTTGTTTAGCCAGCCTATGGCAACTTATTGTATCACAAGAGAACACACAGATGTGCTTCAGTCTTCATACCCTAATTCAAAACAAGGTGCAAAAATAGAAGAACTGATAAAGGTATCTTTGAGATGAGATTTAGAAATGCATAATGACTTATAATGGACAGACAATAGTATGACAATTTTATCCAGTGCTATCAGACCCAGTGTGGTGAAGAGCATATCCAGAAGTATTCCTCTTGTTAAGGCAGTTACATAAAAATAAACCCATCTATACCATAATTTAATTTTAAAATTAGACTTTTCCTGATTCTATATATCTGTATCACCACACACAGTGCTGTCAATCACTGAAAGCAGAAGGTACAAAGATAAGGCTTCTACTCACTTGAACTTGTAGCTTTCTCGTTTATTATTGATGAACCCATCTGCTAAGTCACGTGGCACAGTAATCTCCAGACTGGGCAGATGTTCCTCATTATCAACTGAATAACTCTAGTAAGGATGGACACGAATTCACAGAATAACTTCATCAATAGAACAGCATTACTGTTAGATATAACACTTACCTAAACTTAGCACCTGTAACTGTCTGGAGACAAACTTGTTACAAATTGCACTGATGTGAGCAGATCTTCCTTAACTACTATACAACAAACCCAGCACATACCAGCATTGTCCTGTTACCATGTAAACATATGTCACACATGTAAACATACAATAATATTTAAAATGAAAGTGCAGTCTCTTCGACATAATTTGCTTATTAAACCCCCTTAATATCTATGAAATAAAAAAAGAAAGCACGGGCCCCAGTGCAAACCTCTCAAAAAAAAAAATCTGGAAGAATACATTAGGAAAGGCTACGACAAATGTGATGAGAGGACCTGGCTAAAAACAGGAAGGCAATTGAGACCTAAATTCACGGTTCCTGAAGAACACTTTCGTTATCTTTATTATCCCTTGGCATGGCAGCTGGACACTGGGAGCAACACATTCCCCTGCCTTGCTCAGAACATTGTTGAGCTGCACAAACCCAATGATGTGTGCCAAGCGCTTTCCTGCGGAGTTTTCTCTACTAACTAGGCTGGAAGTTCCTCAGCCACTTCCCCGACAGTTACAGCCTAAACTCCTCTGTTTCGTGATTTTATGAACTTCTTAAGGCTTCGGAGAGTGGAAGCTTCTCGCCGCACACCCACCCGCATACCCACCTCTC